GCAAGTACTCTACCGCTGTTTAACACTCCTGGACTAGTTTTTAATTCTTTTGTTAAGATTTTTTATTGTATTAATCTTCATTAATAAAAGAATTAAAAACTATTTAATGCTGACTTCTTTAATAGTAAAGAATTAAAAACTATTTTTTACAAGCATGCAGAAAAGTAGACTAGTATAATAAATGTCTGTATTCCTGTCACCTAGTTCTAATATTTGATATTTCCTCTATTCTCTTCCCCTATTTTCTTATATTTTTAATAAATTAGATATTTTGTAAGTATTTTTTTCTAATTTCTAGAAAATGACGCATTTCCACAAAGCCCTCATGCTTTTATTGAATGGCAATAGTTTGGGGTCATTTTCCAGTACCTTAGACGTCCATTTCATACTCTCATTTTCCTGCTTGTAAAGTCATTTAGAAGTGCCCACTACTTTTCTTTTCTAATTAATATTTTAATATACTGTGGAAAGGGCATTGATCCTATGTAGTATCTCTTACTGAGTGCTTCTTCATGCTTTTATCTGACTTGTCCCTGTGTTCCTGTACCACCTTCTTATGAGGTGGAGATTATTGAAGTCTTTTTTATGTCTTAGCATCCTATTGTCAGTATAAAAAGTTGTACACGGAATGACTTAAAGTAACCCATTCATTACCTCTTTCAGTGTGCTTTGTTTTGTGTTAGTGGAGCAGGATCTCACTATGAAGTCTAGACTGACCTGCAAGTCACCGCCTTCTTTCTGCTATCTCCCGGGTGTTAGAACTGCTGGGGTTCACTATAGTCCACTACTGCCACACCTGGCATAGCTTTTTAGCTTACAGTTCTGGAGGTCAGATGTAAGCATTGCTTTTACTGGGCTAATGAGGTGGAGTCAGCAGGGTGGATATGCACTTGACTTCATGGCTACTAGATGCTGCCTATTCCTTTTGGCTCGTGAACTCTCTTTTATCTTCCAAGCATGTGATGTTGCCTTCTTTTCTATCTCTGACTCTTCTGGGGTCCCTCAGGGGGACATCAGGGTAATACATGAAAGTATTTCTCAATATCTTTAAGCACATTTACAAAGTCCCCTTTTCCATGTAAACTGCATTTATATAGGTTATGGAATTGAACATAGGAATTTATTTACCTAAATAATAACAACAACAAAGGGTGTATGTGTGTATGTTTTTATGCATATAATTTACAGTATCCAGGACTTTAAAGTCATAATAAGAACCTTTGTATTTTATATCCTTACCTTGCTCAATCCACCTGTCTTTGTCATTTTCTTTAAAGTATTACAATAATGAAGCCTACATAATCCTTCTAAAAACAACGCCCGCCCATCCATCCATCCATCCATCCATCCATCCATCCATCCATCCATCTATCTATCTATCTATCTATCTATCTATCTATCTATCTATCTATCTATCTATCTATCTATCTTTTAGGCAGGATCTTACTATGTAGCTTTGGTTGTCCTGGAACTCACTGTGTATACCAAGCTGGCCATTAACTCACAGAGATCCACTTTCTTCTGCTTCCCAAGTACTGGGATCAAAGGCTATTCTCAGCCTGCTTTTTAGTTTTAACTTTTGCATTAAAATAGAACCACAAAGAACATCAGTCCTTGAAACTTAAGTTATGTTTTGTGATATAGTAATATATGCACTTGCTAATATGGTAAGATGTAGCATCAGTTCTACCGACTTTCATAATTTGAAGTAAAAGTTAGTATAAAACATTTTAGATATCTGCAGCAACTACATTATTTGAGGATACCTGTGTTTTCTATTGGTGATAGAATCACGAATACTGGTAATATAGAAAGAAAATGTTTAATCAGACAGTGGTGGTTCACACCTTTAATCCCAGCACTTGATCTCTGAGTTCAAGGGCAGCCTGATCTACAGAGTGAGTTCCAGGGCAGCCAGGACTATATAGAGAAACTCTGTCTTGAGAAAAAGAAAAGAAGAAGAAGAAGAAAACCCAAAACTTAATTTCCATCATATTTTAGTGAAAATATAGATGTAATTTTTCCCTATCTGTGGTAGGTAATGAAGTTACCCAAACCCTAATATTATAGTTTATCATTGTTAGTGTGCCTGGCAAAAAAAAAAAAAAAAAAAAAAAAAGGCAATGCAGATGTGATTTAAATGTCAGGTTGATATTGGACAATTTTCCGGTATTATCAGGCTAGGTCCTAAATGCAATCCCATATGTATTTATATGGCAGAAAGAACATCTGACACAGAACACTACCTGACAGAAGTAGAAGGAAACAGCGGGTCTCAGGAGAGGAGGGAGAAGTGGTGAGCTTCAAGTGAAAGGAATGCAGCTCCGCATGCTTGAAAAGATGCTCGGGGAAACAAATAGCTCTTTATACTCATTCAGTGTGTCTGTGTGTCTGCACATACATGTCATGGGATGCGTGTGGAAGTCAAAGAACAGTTTATGGTTTTTTCCTTCTACCATGTGGGTACTGGGGATTGAACTCAGATTGTCAGCTTCTTTTCATCACTCCTTCAGTCCTGAAGCTTTCGTGTCACTAAAGCTAGTGCCACATCAGAGATGCTTAAATGTTACCAGTTTGGCTGCTAGTTTAAGATACAGCCTTGGCCTTCTCTTTAAAGTGAGAAGACAAGGGTATGGGCATGAGTTTAAGGATACATGAAGTCTAAAGATCCCACATCAGGGGTGTACTTAGAAATACATCTTTTTCCTAACTTTTTACTCTAGTCCTGTAAAGTAGGCTTTTTGATTTTTGTTCACGCACTGCCTTTATTGAAAATGTCCACTTTTAAAATAATATTTTATCTTGAGAGCATATGCTAGTTTTTCTAGTAAGAGAGAATTATTTTATTGCCTTGTGGCCAAATTCTAGGTAAAGCTAGGCATGGTAGTACATGTTGGGAGACTGAAGCAGGAGGATTCAATTGTGAGTGTGGGCCGTATAGCCGCAGTGTACTTAAAAGAAAACAAACCCGTTGTGAATGATGGCTGATTTCCTACTTTGATATAGACAGAGCTGTGTAATTTGGGTTATTAGTAGTGGTGTTGCCACTTGGAGGATTGTTTCTGTAAGCTGTAGAGTTCGCATAAAGGTAAAGTGGATGTTCAGGGTTTAAGGTAGCCTCATTTTAAAGAGCCTCCCACAGTTTACTACCAGTCTGACATTTGGCAAACTGTTTAAACTTTCTGGCCTTAATTTTCTCATCAGAAGAATAAAATTCTACCTCATAGAACATTATAATGACCAATTGGGAAAAGGAGTGAAAGTCCTTAGAATTGCCATATGGTAAAGATAGAAAAAAAATTACTGTATTATTTTGCAGTTTTTATTATGAATCTCTAACAATAACTTACAAAAATTTTACTTTACATTGACGAATATTGGGAATTTTCTGCATTCTTTTTCTTATGAGGCTAAATAAAGCTGTGAAATGACTTTTAGTTTTTAGTTATTCTTTACTATTTTATAAAAAACAGCTCATTGCTTATGTGTCTTTTTCCCCCTTGTTAAAAAAATGATGCTGTGGCTGAGTGTGGCAGTGCATGCTCTTAATGTCCAGTTTGGCAAACGTTTTATGGGATAAGATGGCCATGAGCCTGTTGGAGGTATGTGTAAAACACTATGTTCTACATGTGGAATGTCCTCCATAGCTCGTGTCTAAACACTTGGGCCCCAGCTGGTGACACTGGGTTGGGAAGTTGTGGAACCTTTAGGAGGTGGGGTCAGACTGGGAAGTAGTCTTTGGGGGTTGGGTTTTAGGGTTGCAGTCTGGCCCTGCTTCCTTATTCATATGCATACCCCACTCCAGTTGATACTGTGTAATAAGCAGCTGCTTTATGTTTCTGCTGCTGTAGACATGAGCCATTTCTGCTGCCCTGCCTTCCTTGCCATGATGGACTTTATCTTCTTAAACCATGAACCAGAATAACAGCAATGAGAAAGATAACCAGCATAAAAAGTTCTGTTTCTATATGCTTATATTAATGCATTAGAGAATTTTCTTCTCACAACATTCTCTGTGAGTTTGATTCTCACATACATGTAATAAAGAACTGACTATGCTTTTTTTTTTTTTTTTTTTTAGTTTTTAGAGACAGGGTTTCTCTGTGGCTTTGGAGCCTGTCCTGGAACTAGCTCTGTAGACCAGGCTGGTCTCAAACTCACAAAGATCCGCCTGCCTCTGCCTCCCGAGTGCTGGGATTAAAGGCGTGCGCCACCATCGCCCGGCCTGACTATGCTTTTAGGCAGCAAAGAATAACAAAATTTCTATTTTGTTATTTGGACACAATTATGGTTACATGTGCTCTATAATTTTTTTTTATGTTATAACAATTAGTATTCTACCTACCATAGTTTACTCTGAAATAGCAGGTAATGTTTTCAGAAAACCTTAAGTAAAGTATTATGGAATCACTGACAATATCATGATTTATAATGTTAAGATAGAATCTCACACTTTATGGCACCTACAGGTTCTGTTTCTTGTTTGCATATTTAGATACCTTGGTTAGAGTAGGATTGAATGTTGATGTCATTTGTGCAAGGGATACAGTAGAGACAAAACTTGATTTATTTGTTAATTGGAAAGGTCTTTTTAAAGAATGGGTTGTTTCGGTTCTTTGTATAGTGTTGGAAGGTTTCAGCTGACTGCCAGTTTTAACGATTTGTGACTCATTGGTGACTCTAGTAGAGCTGTAAGCACCCCTAATCACTGAGGCATTTTTTTTTTTTTAGCTCCATATACAGTCTTTTGAGACAGGCTTTAGTAGCATAATATATCTGGGGCTCATCCATGTTTCTTCTCATTGCTGAGTAGTTTTCCATCCTGTGGGTATATCAGTTTTTAATCCCCCAGTTGATATACTCTAAGAATAATGGCATTTACACCTTAGTCTCCAGACCCTGAGAATATATTACTTTATATAACAAAATAAACTTTAGATTTAAGATTAAGAACTTTTTGATAGGGGACTTATCCTAGATTATCCATGTGGGGCTGCTATAATCATCTGAACTTTTTTTATTTTTTATTTATTTTTCTTGCACAGGGGCCATGCTAATCTTCTATGTATCATTCCAATTTTAGTATATGTGCTGCTGAAGCTAACACCATCTGAACCTTAAAAGTGGGAGAGAGACAGAGAGAGAGAGAGAGGAGTAAGAAAGGTATGACATCAAAGGCCGAGGCTGGTAACCACCTTCAGGGAAACAGGAATTTTGGTCCTACAGCCACAAGGAACACAGTTCTGTCCAGAACCAAAAGGAACAGAAGATGAATTCATATCTAGCCCCCTAGATCCATTTGTTTATATCTAGTCCAGCAAGATCCATACTGTTCTGCTGACTTTCAGAATATTAATATAGTGAATTTATGCTCTTTTTTTCTCCTTTTCTTTTTTGAGATAGGGTTTCTTTGTATAATAGTCCTGGCTATCCTGGAACTCAACAAATCTGCTTGCCTTTGCCTGTCAAGTGCTGGGATTAAAGGCATTTGCTACCATGCCCCACAAATTTTATGCTTTTTAAACGATCAAATTTCTCGTGATTTTTTATGACAGTGTTAAAAAAACTAATGAAAGCATAAGATTACTTCTCATTTTTAATGATTTTAAACAAAGCCACTACTAACATTTGAGTGCAAGCTTTTGCGTATTTTGTTTAAAGGAAGCAGGATCAGGACTGCTGTGTCATTTTTGCATCCTTACTTGCTACCACTGAGAGTTCATTTGTTAGTTGCTTTGTGGTTTTTAGTGCACATTTCCCTAATAACCGTGGAGTTGGATTCGAGATGCTTTTTCTATTTGCTGTTTAAGTCCCCCTCAACTGAAGGAATTTTAATATTTTATTGTTTTCTCTTATACTTATCTATAAGAGAACTATCTCTTATAGTTGGTTTTATGTTATCATAACAAAAGCAACTTAAGGGAGAAAAATTTTATTTTAACTGTGAGTTCCAGAATGGTTACAGTTCATCATGGCATGGAACACATGGCAGCTGGAGTGGGAGGCTATTGGCTGAAGGAATGGAAGGAGCTCCCATAGCACTCGGGAGATATGGGCCAACTTCTCACTGTGCCCTTGAGAAACCTGACCCAGGATGGCAGAGTACAGGGGAGCTGTCTCCATCCTCACCTGGAAGAGCTAGCCCTGCACTCTGGAGAGATGGGTCCACCCCTCACTGTGGGTTTGGGAGACCTGACCTAGGATGGCATGGGTGCAGGGGAGCTGTCGCCACACCTCGCCTGAGGGGGTTGATCCCAGCTGAGGCTTGGACTGACCAACTCAGCTACCACCCAGGCCACACTCAGTGCTTTGAGTTGACCCACTCCAACATCTACCCCAACTGTGACCTGCTTCATCTCTCGAAGGTACTGGTCCTGTGGAACCATAGCTGCAGGATCTCCATGACTGCAACAGCAGGATATCCGAGGGAGTTTTGGTGAGGGTCCAGTATGTATAGTGTACCAGAAACCAGAGGCCTTGGACCTGACCAACAACTCATTACAATGAACATTTGCAAGTAAAGTTCTTTGGACAAAAGGGCATATGTATAATACGTGATACACTACAGCCCCCAGTGCCACTAAGATGAATGAAGAGGTGATGGAGAGGCAGGAGAGGAGGAGGAGTGAAGTGGGATGTTTTTTAAAATTAATACTTTTATGTTTTTTATTTTCTTTTGTGGGGCATTTTAAAAGTGAAGGGTAAATATGGAGGAACTGGGAAATGTGAGAGATTGGGATGCATGATGTGAAATTCCCAAAGACTCAATAAATTATGTGTTTTTTTTTTTTTAAAGGAGTAGTGTCATATAAAAGAAAGTTGGATTTATGTCAGTTTGAGAACCATGAATAGGGCTGCAAGTAGAGTCCTCTTATAACAAGGCCATTGATTATAGATTAAGCTGTGTTAAAGAGAATTCAGGTGAAGAAGGGGATTAGAAAAGTAAAAATGAAATTAAGCTTATTCTTGTTTTAAATAGAATCACAAAGTTCATTATAGAATTCTTAGTCTAAACTGGTGTTGTTGTGTTTTCTCCCTTAGCTTCTCTTCTCCAGTTGTTTGCCCTAATATTCTTAGTTTTAAAGTGCTTAATACATTCAAATATCCTTTAAATATAAATTGCATTTTTTTCTTTTTAGTTTTTCCTAATTTGGCCAACTAGCATATTTTATCATCGTAAAGTAGACTCAGACCCCTCATGAACCTAGAAAGATGAAATTATATGCATGTTATAGTTTTCTTAGACTTTAATATGTCTTTGTGAATCTTATTTTCTTTACTGTTTAGTGAAAATGTTTAAGTTGTGTTAAAGAACTAAGCCTACGTGACAATTGTAAAATCTACATCTTAGAAAATTTACCTAGTATTAGTTTTATTTGTATTTATTTTATTTTGCCTGTTTATCTTTAGACAAGGTCTCCTCTGTAATTCAGGATGTCCTGAACCTTTTGGCAGTCTCCTTGTCCCTGCCTCTTTGAGTACTAGAATTACTGGCATACATCACCATGTTCTGCTTAATACTGACTTTTAAATTTTAAATCATTAAGAGCTACTTCTAATTTTAAAAAATTCTGTCTTTTCATGTTTCTGCCACAGGGTGGTGTACTGTAGCTACTTACGGAAATTCTGCTGTGTGATTTCAACAGCCTAATCAAACCTAGCTAAAAATAGAATTTTATATATTATTCTCATTGGGAATGCAAATAAATTGTTTGTAACAGTAGATAATCTTTAAAGAGTCTTATATGAGAAATATTTTAGGGACTTTGATCAGTTTTTATTGCATTTTTACTTAAATATTTTATTTGGAAGTAATTTTAGACTAAATGCATTGTAAAAATCGGACTAGTAAAGGAGAAATCCGTCGAACATTTATGTAGATTACTTTTTATTAACATTTTATCCCCTTACTTGCCTTTTATTTATATATACATATACTTTAAAAAATCTTTAGTTTTTGGGTATGCGTGTATGGTGTATGTGTGTTTGCACACATGTGTGAAGGTCAGAGAACAAGTATTTCCTCTCCTTTGTTTATATATCTTCTAAGGATTGAATTCAGGCTCTAGTGCTCGGATGGCAAACCCCTTTACCTGCTGAGCCATCTCTTACTACGTGTGTAAGTTTTGTGTCTGTGTGAACATTCGAGGCTTAAGTCAGATTATGATGTGACACATTATCCCTAAATGCTACATTGTGTTTTCAAAGGAGTATCACTTTCAGGAAATTTGACATTCATAAGAGACTTTTATCCTGTCTGCTATCAGTATTTCAATTTCTGTTTTGATTCAGTTCACTTCATCCTTTATTCCCCCTCTAGTCAGGTTATTTGTAATATTTAATTGTCATAGATACTTAGATTCCTTTGGCTTGAAATATTTCTGTAGCCTTTTGTCTTTCTTTAAAAAACATTGAAATTCCCTTAAAAAAACTTTTACATCATTTAGTGATGGGATTCTCAGCTAGACTGCAGAGATTTTTATTGGGTCATCTTTGGAGTATTGTATGTCCTATATACTTTATACTATATAAAGTATTTCTGTCCTATATACTTTTACCAGTGATACCATATTTTGTTGGTGGTTATTTTGGTACATTAATATTAATTAACTTAATTGATACTTAAAAACATAAGAATTACAAATTTTAATGGAATGCGTTGTCATATTTTGATACAGATTCATATTTTAGTGATTTTAGATACATGCATGTGTAGAATTTTGTGCGATTTGAGGATGTATAAAATGTTTCCTTCAAAGGTTGACCAGTGCTTAGAGTAGATAATATCTGAGTTTACTGACATGCTCAAGGTAGAACATTTTAACTTTATTCCTTACAAAGCTCTGTGTTTTGTTCCTGGATTACCAAGGAGAATTTTTGATGCCCTCCTTGGGACTTGCCAGTCATTACTGTGAAAGAATAAAATCTGAGTAGGGGATATTAGACTGCAAAGAAACGTTAAAAATGGAGTCATGGCAACTACAAATCTCATAGAAGTTATTTAGCGGAGCCAAATAGATTTCTTTTAGGTAGATATAGCTATTCCTGCTTCATCCTCCCATGTGGTAGAATTAGAGATGTGCACCACCATGCCTGGTTCCAAAGACACGATTTTATAGTCTCTGTTTGAGTTTGGGTTTGTATTATTTATTTTGTTTAAATACAAAATAAACACTTACTTGCCAAATACATTGATTGTAAAGAATAAACTGGGCAAAGGAATACTTGCAGCTCCGTTTTACTCGTAGGTTACTTGAAAGACTTATGCTGCTTGTAACTGGGTAAAATAGTTTTGTGACTAGCAACATTTTCTGCATTATTTCTATAATGCTTCTTTCAGGATAGCAATGAAAATTCTCGGAAGGAAATAGCTACTTGATTTGAGACGATCAATGCTTATTTCACTTGAATATTCACAAATAGTGTCTTGACTCTGTTGAAAAGGTGTTTGTAGCATCAGCACTGAGATGCTACAACACTGTTCAACTCTGCTGGAGGATGTACAGAGAAACTTTTTGTATGCTCTTATATTTAATCTATTTACTTTGAATTGATATATACATACATATATATGTATATATATAAAACATACCAAGTGTATTTTCCACATACAGTAGACATCAAAGCATTTGAGGTATGAAATTAGAAGACTCTAAAGTGATTTGAATGCTAAAATGCCCATTACATTTAACTGTGAAAACTGGAAAGTTATTGGATACTGCTGTGAGTTTTGATTTCTTCCATCAGCTACCCTACAGAGTTTTGGGAGAAAAAATTGCATCCATGTTCCCCTAGATTTTCTCCTTGATTTTACAAAGAAGTACATCACATAAATTATTACTTTATAATTGTGTCTTCTGACACATGTGTACACGGTTCTGAGTCCCCTAGTACTAAATTATACCCTGGGGCTTGGAATCCATCCTGTTTCCCTGGTACCTAACATAATTCTAAGAACTTGGACATTAAATGATTGAGTACAGTTTTTAAAGTTTTTATTTTTATTGCTTAGGCAAGACACCTGTGTAGATTCTGCTTCATCCCTGAGAGAGAACAAACAACCAGAAGGTTTGGAATCAAAACAAGGTATGGATCAAATACTTAATTTTATATAGTTTTTTTACCAATAATAAATTTCCAGTCTGAAAATTCACCCCGTTTTACAGAGAGGGAAATGGAGTATCCTATTTGTCCATAATCATGTCTTCTTAGCTACTGGGTGACCTGAGTTTTGTGTGGTTGACTACAGATGCCACCAGAAAGGTTTTACCATCTTGAATGGTTTCTATTTTAGTGATTTCTGTTGGAAGATGGAGGTGAGTTGTCTGGGTGTCTTTGGGTTCTATGTGGAACAAAGATGATAACTTTTAGGATAACTACCCCTCCTCGCTGTGCCAAGATATTTTTCATCATTTACTTCTTCTTTAGAGAAGAATTTGCTTTCTTTACATTGGTTTTGCCATAACCAGATAGTAGATATAAAGTGGTAATTTTAATTCATCTAAGTCTTATAGATTAATAGGGCTAATAATTTCAATGCTTTAAAAAATTCTCTCAGCTGGGCAGTAGTGTCGCACACCTTTAATCCCAGCACTTGGGAAGCAAAGGCAGACAGATCTCTGTGAGTTCGAGTCCAGCCTACAAGGTCTACAAGAGCTAGTTCCAGGGCAGGCTCCAAAGCTACAGAAAAACCATGTCTCGAAAAACCAAAACTAAAAATAAAAAATTCTTCTAATCTTTATTAGAAAAATTTTATTGTTCAAATAAACTATAAATTGTTTTTCCTATTCATTGAAATAATTACTTAAAATTTCTGTAAAACTTGAGCTATAGGAACTCAGTACAGACAAGGAGATTTTTATTTCTTTTAGGTAGAAGTTCTGAAGCTTCACTTTGTTACTGATAATTGTTGAACAATGTGAAAATGTATGTTTTTTTAGTTTGTTTTATATATATATATTTAATATATACACAGTCTACATTTTAAAAAATGCATTGGTGTTTATTATTCTGATGCTCTTGGGAATTGTCCAATGCTTTTTAGGAATTTTCTAGTATTAGGCTCATAAATAGCCAAACAAAATTATATATTTGTACTTTGACTACTGAATATCCTCACAGATAGAAACTGAGATTTGGTTCATCAGCATTCTTTGTCATAGAGATAAAAGCTATAAACACATTGTTTTCAGTTAGTATAATTATGATCATCTAACCTTCTTTACACTTCACATATAATTAGACCACAGTGCTTTTGTATCTTTTCTTTTCATTTGTGAGACAGAGTCCTACTTGGTAGCCAGGCTGGCCTTGAACTCATGATCCTCTTGCCTTTGCCTCAGGAGTGCTGTGAATAGGGATATAACCACCACACTCAGCCTGCTATTATCACTTTCCTTTGTTCCTAAAGTTCTTGGTATTGATTGAGCAGAGAGTGTGAGTATGCTATTAGATTATCTAGCAGAAAATAATATCTTATGAAGAATTGAAAAGGCTAGAATAAGATGGGTTGATTCTGCTTCCAGTAGAAAAGAAGCCAGAAACTGCAGTGCACAATTTACACCAAGGCGAATTTTCTAAGGGTAGATGTATTTTGACTCCATATTCAGACTCCCAGAGTTCTTAAGAACCCCATTGCAATATCAATAGTTTGTTTTGCTATGATTTTCCTACAATAAGTAACTACTCATTTGAAAATCAGCTATGGAAAAGCCAAGTAGTCATATTCCAGAAAAGCTATGCATTTTGTATTTAAGAGCCTAGAGACTATACTGAGTTTCCTATGTAAGCATGGGAAGCACACTGTTTGCAAGAGGCAGACATAAGAAAGGTGAGGTCAGAGCATTAAAGGGCTACTGTGCAAAACAGTTTGTGCTAAGATTGTAACTAACCTGAAGAAGCAGTTGTATTTTCAGCATTGGTTTTGCTATTGGTTTTGTTTTGTTTTGTTTTTTTTTCTCATGAATAAGCATGGAACCCAAGAAAGAATTCACATATGCTAGGCAAGTAGTCTACCATCCAGCCCCACCCTCTTTTAAAAGAAAAACAGAAATTGTTTTTAAGAAAATGTTCATAAGTAAAATAAAATTCTTTGCCACCTAGTAGGATAAGAAGGAATTATCTGAAAGTTTTATTTATGCAGAACATCTTTTGGGTAAATTCTAGAAAAACTTGAATGATTAATATTAAATGGTTAATCCATTAAATTGACAGTTCATTCTAAGGAGTGATATATATTTTTGACAGGATCTGTTTCTCTGTGTTGCCTTGGCTGTCTTGGAACTTGCTTTGTAGACCAGGCTGGCCTCTAACTCAGAGATCTCCCTGCCTCTGCCTCCTGAGTGCTGGGATTAAAGGTGTTAGATTTTCAAATGTTATTTTTTGTAGGAAAATCACAGCAAAACAGGCTATTGATATTGTAGTGGAGTTCTTAATCTGGTCTGAACCAGATTGTAAATAACTTCATGGGGTTACCTAAGAAACTGTGGTTTATTAGGAAATAGAAATCCTGCAGGCTCAAAAAGACAGTTCCCCTTTTGTAAATGAAAAGTTTATTTTCTATTTGTAATTTGTGAAACACTGAAAATGTAATGTTATATCTGGAACTTTTCATACATAGTTAGCCATTCTGTTCACAATAAGCTTAGTAAAAATAAAACATAACGCCAGGCGGTGGTGGTGCATGTTTTTAATCCCAGCACTCGGGAGGCAGAGGCAGATAGATCTCTGTCAGTTCAAGGCTAGCCTGGTCTACATAGCGAGTTCCAGGACAGCCAAGGCTACACATAGAGACAAACCCTGTCAAGAAAAAAACAAACCAAAACAAAACAAAAGAACATAATACTCCTTGGAAATGCATTGTGATTTTAATGGCTTGACCATTTAAATTTAGATCATTCAAATTTAGTTTGTTCTAAAGTTCAATAGACCAAAATATGAAGAAGCACTGAATTTTCTGTTTGTACTTTGAGGATAAATCTTATTATGACCTATTATTTTTATATGGAACAAACATGTAGTTATATTACCTTTAAGATTTTTTTTTCAGTTTCTAAAAGTCTGAAGTATTATTTGAGTAGTTATTCAGGTAGGACTTGGACATTCACTCACAGTTAAGCTGATATATCTTTGTCAAGTGCTGATAGGAAATCGTGTGTTTGAAACTAGCAGTGCTAAGGTTGAATGTTGAATTCATAAAATAACCTCAACTGTCCTTATGCTAATAACTAGAGATCTACTTTTACCATGAAAATATTTAAATGCAGGTATGATATTATTTGATTGATTGAAACTGTAGCAAAATTAACTCTTTTGTTGGAAATCATTTCTTAAATAATCATTTTCAGCCAGATGGTAGTTATATGAGGAGTATCAGTTACAACTGTGTGTGTGTGTGTATGTATGTATGAGTATGCACCTGTGTAAGCTTACTGTGAGCTTTAGATCTTAAGGTTTCCTAGAATATCAGTTATTGTATTGCTAAAAAGACTTAGTGTTGCTTTAAAAATAGATATGATGTATTTAAATTAAAAAATGGATCTTTTTGTGCTATAGATTGGAAAATGAAAAATTCTGCTTAATGAATGTTTAGAAAACATTGTTAAACTTTTAAATCCATCTTTGGTAGTATAATGAGTTATTTTCCTACAGACTAATTTATGAGGACTTTCAGCAATATTAAAATACAGGTCTGTATTTAAATTTTTTGTCTTGTGGCTGTGTGTAGCTTACAGATATTGTAACTTCAAAAATTAAAGTAAAATCTATGCTTGCATTACTTTAAGCTGTAATGTTAAAAAATTAAAACATTGCTTGAGAAAGTAGATATTTAGGTTATTGTGAAGAGTTGGGAGTTTTATTGTCATATTCTAAAACATTTGAAAAGTTGTTAAATAGAAAAGTGATTAGTTTATTCTGCATTTCTCATAACTATAAAAGTAGAGTAGACAGAAATATCACTGCACAGAGTTTTGGAGTTTATTTCTAGTTATCAGAGATATCATTGGATTGCCTGGAGTTCTTAAAATGGAAGATGCTTGAATGAGAATTGCATAAGCCACCACCTGGTGGTGCTGTTGTATAGCAAACTCAATCAATGCTTGATTGGCCCTTTTGAAATTTCTTTTAAATTGTCAGATTTTGTAAAGACTAGTGCCTACTACATTGTTTGTACTTGGGCAGAGTGTTGAATGTGTTTTCTTACTTTGTTCAATGGTAGGGCAAACTATAAAAACTTTTTTCTATTATCTCTATATTTTTTTTGTTACATTAGAAAAAAGGTTACTTGATTTTGTCTTTAGTCTATTTGATGATTATTTGAAATATGTTTACTGGAATCTAGGTGTTCAAATAAATAATGTAACCGGATAGTACATATAATTATCAGTGTCACTAAGGCGTTTGCTGTATTTTACTTGAAATCTTATACATTCTTTTTTTAAGTGAAATTGGAGAAATACATATATACATAAAATATGCACATAAGATTTGTGCTGTGATTAGGCTCAAATCTTACCACTAAATCTAGTCGGCAGCTATAGCTCTAGGTTAGCTTTTGAATTCATGAGTTAATGAATACTAGACAACATTAAGGATTGCTTGGCAGTGCTGGAGAGTGTGGCTCAGTAGAAGAGCACTAGCCTAACATATACAGGCCTCTGGCTTTGAGCCCCATCACTGAAAAAAAAATGCTAACAAGAACTTCAAGAATTTGAAAGTTGGGCTTTAATAAGAATAAGGCTGGTTTTAATAGGAACAAAATGTTTGTCAGTGGCTAAGCTAAGTGGTAAAAACTTTTAATTTTAAACGTGCTTTCAGCCTTTCAGACTAGTGGTCACCAATAACATAGGCTTAATCATATTTCCAGAATATAGGAGGAAATGCCAGAATTTATATAGTAAATTAATAGTATAAGCTAATAATTTTTAAGTATTTTCCTTTAATCTTTTTGATTATATATGTATATATGAAATGCCTATGTAATTATAATGGTATAAATATAAGAATATAAAATTTAGCTAGGTGGAGGTGGTGCACGCCTTTGATCCTAGCACTCAGGAGGCAGAGGCAGGCGGATCTCCTTGAGT